TTTGCGTGAAATCATCTTTTCTTTATTCCTCATTAAAACTGTTTTGGAAAGATAGAGAATTCTAGATTACCAGTTTTTTTCTTTCAATACATTTAAAATGTTCCATTGTCATATTGCTTCCAATGTTTTATTTTGTTTATGTTTGGGGGTCATACCTCACTATCAGAGGCTACTAAGGACGTGGTATCATCTGGGGTCACTCCCTTGAGGTGCATGTAGAACCTGAGATGGAACCTGGCTTTCTTCATGCAGACCACGTGCTCTAGTTCTTTAAACCACCTCCTGAGCCATACTTGTAGCGTTTTAAATAAAAATGATCATGCTATCTTTATTTTTCTTGGTATGTAACATCTTTTCTTTCTGGTTGCTTTATAAAATATTTATCACTGTCTCTGGGCCTAAAACTATTTTTGGTAACTTAATAGATTTTCTTTTTTTTTTGGTAACTTTTCATGGTTCTTGCATTTAGGCTTTGTTGAGCCTCTGGACAGCTGGTTTGTGGATACATAAAGATTCTTTTCATGAAAAAAATTTTTTAATTAGTCGAAACACCATGAGGTACAGTTGTAGACTTACAAACTTTTGTGCTTGGGTTTCAGTTATACAATGATCAAGTACCCCCATCCCTTCACCAGTACCCATTCTCCACCACCAATGAACTCAGTAGCCCTCCCACCCCCCCTATTCCATCTCCCCCCACCCCGCCCCACCTCTGTGGCAGGGATTCAATTTTGCTCTCTCTTTCCTTTAGGGTGTTGTGGTTTGCAATAGAGGTATTGAGTGGCCATCGCGTTCGGTCTATAGTCTACTTTCAGCACGTATCTCCCATCCCGAGTGAGTCCTCCAAACACCCTTTACTTGGTGTTCCTTTATCTGAGCTGACTTTTCTCCCAGCATCTGCTGTCAGCTTCCATGCTGTGGAGCAGACCTCCTGGTACTTGTCTCTACTATTCTTGGGTGTTCGTCTCCAATTCTGTTACTTTATATTTCCCATATGAGTGCAACTTTCTAACTCAGTCCTTTTCTTTCTGACTCATCTCACTTAGCATGATACTTTCCATGTAGAACCACTTGTATGCAGATTTAATGACTTCATCTTTTCTAATAGCTGCATAGTATTCCATTGTGTAGATGTGCCAAAGTTTCTTTAACCAGTCATCTGTTTTCGGGCACTTGGGTTTTTTTTTCCAGATTTTGGCTATTGTGAATAGTGCAGCAATGAACATACAAGTGGAGATGTCATTTCCACTATCCTTTTTTGCTTCTCCAGGATATATTCCCAGAAGTGGTATTGCTGGGTCAGATGGGAGCTCAATTTCTAGTTTTTTGAGAATCGTCTGTACTGTTTTCCAAAAGGGCTAAACCAGTCGGCATTCCCACTAATAGTGAAGGAGAGTCCTTTTCTCACCACATCCACGCCAACACCGGTTGCTTTTGTTCTTTTGGATGTGGGCCAGTCTCTGTGGTGTGAGATGATATCTCATTGTTGTTTTGATCTGCATCTCCCTGATGATTAGTGATGTAGAGCATTTTCTCATGTGCCTTTTAGCCATTAGGATTTCTTCTTTGACAAGTTTCTGTTCATTTCATCGCCCCATTTTTTGATGAGATTGGATGTTTTCTTCCTGTGGAGTTCAGCCAGTGCTTTGTATATCCTTGATATCAACTTCTTATTAGATGGGTATTGGATGAATATCCTTTCCCATTCTGTAGATTGTCTTTGTATTTTGGCCACTATATCTTTTGAGGTGCAGAAGCTACTGAATGTAATCTGCCCACACGGCAGAGTCTGGCAAACTCCCTGTGGCGTACCCAATATGCCAAATACCAGTAACAATGATGGGTCTCATTTTCCTAAACCTGGGGCATCCTTGAATATGGCACTTTTTAAAATCTCAGTTCTAGGACAAAGGAGCCGTTACTGGTTCCTGCTTGAGGCAATCGATGAACAACGGGATGATGGTGGTCGTGATCGTGATCTTTTGCGGTGCAGAAGCTTCTTAGTTTAATATAGTCCCATTTGTTTATCTCTGTTTCCACTTGGTTGGTCAGTGGAGTGTATCTTTGAAGATACCATTAACCTCAATATCGTGGAGGGTTTTGCCGACCTTGTCTTCAATATATCTTATGGATTCTGGTCTGATGGTGAGGTCTGTAATTCATTTTGATCTGAATTTTGTGTTAAGTCAAGTCTAAGCCCATTTTTTAAAATTATTATTAGTGAAACACCATGAGGTACAGTTGTAGATTTACAATTTTTTGTGCTTGGGTTTCGATTATACAATGATCAAATACCCATCCCTCCACCAGTGCCCATTTTCCACCACCAAGGATAATATCCCTCCCACCCCCATCCCTCCCATCCCACACTGCCTCTGCGGCAGGACAACCTCTTGTGTTCTCTTTCTCCTTTTGGGTGTTGTGGTCTGCAAAAGAGGACTTGAGTGGCAAACATGTTCAGTCCATAGTCTACTTTCAACATGCATCTCCCCTCCTGGGAGGATCCTCCAAACACCCTTTATTTGGTGCTCCCTTTAAGCCCATTTTTTTGCATGTGGTTGTCCAGTTATGCCAGCACCATTTGTTAAAGAGGCTTTCCTTGCTCCACTTCACATTTCCTGCTCTCTTATCAAAGATTAGATGTTCATACATTTGGGGTTGCATGTAGGGATATTCCACCCTGTTCCTTTGGTCTGCAGCTCTGCCTTTGTTCCAGTACCATGCTGTTTTAATTGTTACTGCTTTGTAGTAGAGTTTGAGTTTGGGGAGCGTGATGCTTCCCACCGTCTTTTTCCTAAGAATTGCTTTAGCTATTTGTGGGCGTTTGTTGTTCCAAATAAATTTTAGGAGTGCTTGATCTATTTCTTTGAAGAATTTCATGAGTATCCCTATAGGGATCGCATTGAATCTGTATAGTGCTTGGGGGAGTATTGCCATTTTGACAATGTTAATTCTTCCTATTCATGAGTAGAGGATACGTTTCCATTTCCTCATGTCCTCTTTTATTTCGTGGAGTAGCGTTTGTAGTTTTCTTTGTAGATGTCCCTTACCTCCTTAGTTAAGCTGATTCCGAGGTACTTGATTTTCTGGGGCATGAATGTGAATGGGATTGCTTTTTTTCATGTCTTTTTCCTCTGTTTCATTATTTGCGTATAGGAAGGGCATGGATTTTGGGGTATTTATTTTATAGCCTGCGACTTTACTGTACAAGCCTATTGTTTCTAGGAGTTTCTTGATAGAGGCTTTAGGATTCTCTAGATATAGTATCATTTTTTCTGTGAATAGTGAGAGTTTGATTTCTTCCTTTCCTATTTGGATGCCCTTAATATCTTTTTCTTGCCTAACTGCCATTGCAAGTACTATATTGAACAGTACTATATTGAACAGTACTATATTGAACAGAAGTGGTGAGAGTGGGCATCCTTGTCATAAATATCCTTAAAGGAAGATTGAATTAGTGATGGAAGCTTATGGAAGTTTACTTTATTCAATATTAATATCAATAGTGTTCAATATCAATAAAGAATCAAGGTCTTTGCTGTGGCCAAGGACAGAGTAGGAGAGGAACTATGACCATCCTTAACTAGGAGGGTAGAAGAATTTATGACAGAAAAATGTCATTTTTTCCAGGTATCTGTAAGGTCTCACTTAAAATTAATAACCATGAATTTAAAGTCAGTATCCTTGGGCATTTTCTTCTGACAGTTTTAGCTGCAAGGATTCGGGCACTTAATGTGGTGCTTGCACATCCAGGGTTAGGGTTTGCAGGGAGTCGATTTTATGGAAACGTTGATTATATTGATTGACTGTTGAATAAGCATGCTATCTATTGAACTTTCTCTCAGTGAGGACTGTAAGAAGGCTCCCCCCCCCCCCCCCACCATCTAGAAGTGTTGGATATCTAGCTACAGATCCACAGATTGATGTGTCTTAAGTGATAGCACAGCGGTAGAGTGTTCGCCTTACAAGCAGCCAACATGGTCGCCCCGAGTTCGATTCCTCCGCCCCTCTCGGAGAGCCCGGCAAGCTACTGAGAGTATTCGATATGCCAAACACAGTAACAACAAAGTCTCCAATGGAGACGTTACTGGGCCCGCTCGAGCAAATCGATGATCAACGGGAGGGCCTTTACCTTTAACAGTAGAAAAATCAGAGAAAGTTGTTTTATTTGAGCGATTGTTTTATTGGAGCGAATCAACCTAGTTTCCAATGGAATGTTCTGTAAACACTCCCTCAGTTGGGTCTAGGAACCTGTCCTGTTCCAGCCTACTGGCTTGACGTCTCTGACACCCAGCTTCTTCTCTCTGGTCCTTGCCATACACTTTGAGAAGCAGGGCTTCCTGCAGGAGTGCTCTAGCCCTTACTCATCCTTGCCTCCCAGTTTTCCTGAATAATCCAACCATTCCTATAATCTCAGAATAAAGTTAGCAAGCTAAGAACTACTTAGCGCCCTTTCAGCTCCAATTTTACCTGGTGGCTTTGATGGCTGTTATCTGCTATTACTCAGCACCCTTCCTGGCAACTGGGACCGTTTGGAATCTAGCGCGGTCTGGCCCATTGGTAGGTGGTCGAGCAGACACATTGGGCTCAAGCGGTAAAAGCAAGTGAGATCTATGCGACCTCCCGCGAATTTATGATGAAGTGTTGACCGTTATACACCTCCAACGCTTTGCCCGGAGTTCTTGCAGAAGGACCTCAGGGCGGAGCCAGGGGACACTAGATAGGGCGTTTTATTCTGTATTTAGTGATGCAAAGTCCTTTGGACCGAAAGAAATTGACTAAGAAAGACATGAAGGGAGAGAAGGAGAGCAGAATCCGTGCTCCAGCTAGAACCCGAGCGGGAAAGCGTCAGGCGGAACATTTCTACGCCGCAGCTGGGCCCGGGGGCCGGACGGCGCCTGCGCACTAGCCGCGCCGGAAGTGCGCAAGGGCCTGGGGCCGCGCCGCCGTCGCCCTGGCAACCGCCCGGAAGCGGCGGGCAGCACCTTGCGGCCAGGGAAGCGCGCGCTGCCCCGGAGCCTTAAGTTTCAGGGGCGGCGGCAGCGGCAGCGGTCGGGGAAACGGCCAGGCAGGTTGGGGCGATGGAGCGGAGCGGTGCCGCCGGGCGGGGATCCCGGCGCAGGGCTGGAGGCCGCGGGCTGACCCCACCCGGGGCCTGGAGAGGGGCTGTGCGTGCTCGGGTGCGCGTCTGGGGGGCTGCGGGCGCGCCCCTGCCCCAGCACCCCCCAGTGCGCGCTTGGCGCTTCTGCAACGAGCTGGGAGTTTGGAGGGAACCTGGATGTGTTGCTTGCAAAGAAGGTCCAGGGAGACCGACCCACCCGGGTGGTTTATTTATTTATTTATTTATTTAGCTTTGTGTTTGTGTGTGTGTGTGTTGGGGGGGGGGGCTTGCGGGTTGGGAGGGTCGTTTGAGACGCTCGCAGGAAAAGCTGCGTGCGTGCATGAGTTTGGGGGAGCCAGCTGGAGGAGAGAGGCAGGTGGGATGGGGTTCCCGGCAGAGGGGTAGGGTGGTCGGTGGAGGTGAAGAGGGAGGAAGCCTGTAAAGATCTGCTGGAAAGCCGAAAGATCCCGAGTCCTAAATTTAGGAGCAGTTCCTTGCAAAAGGGTGGGCAGCGGAGTTTGGTAGGTCGGGGGTGGGGGGCGACTTTTAGATCTTCGAGAAAGGAAGCAAAGGTTGAGAACTCTACCTCCAACCCCCGCCCCCAGTGGAGTGCGGCCTTGAAGTGATGCTTTGAAAAAAGCCGGGAGGGAAGGGCAGTGCCTGCGAACAGGGCCGGGTGATTATGCTTGTAGCCCTGATAGTTTGGTGAAATACGATGTATTGCTCTACCCCGGGTTGGCCTGATTGACGGGTCAGTGTTTGCAAAATGTTCTCAAGTTCTCGTGTGCTCCTTTCTGTGCCACAGTAGCTGAGCTCAGTGGACCCAATCTCTTGTAGTTTCTATAGGGCGTGCGTGTGTGTGTGTGTGTGTGTGTGTGTAGGAAGCTTTACTTTCAGTAGTTTATATAGGGCCTGGGATGCAGAATCGCTTGTAGTTTCTATAGGACCGGGACTGTGCTGTGTGTGTGTGTGGCGGGGGTGGGGGAACACGACAGCTTTACTTCAGTAGTTTATGTTGGGCCTGGGGTGCAGAATCTCTTGTAGTTTCTATAGGGCCTGGTGTGTGTGTGTGTGTGTGTGTGTGTGTGTGTGTGTGTGTGTGTGTATGTGTGTGTAGCTTTACTTTCAGTAGTTTCTATAGGGCCTGGGTTGTGTTTATGTGTGTGTGTGCGCGCAGAAAAATAACAATAACCAATTGTTACTGTCTTTTTTCTTTCCCTGGAACGTTCTTTTCTACCGTCTTTTTCTCATTTTGGGGTTGAGGGGTGGGGAATCTGGAAGGTAACCTTTTCTTACTGTTCAGCGTAAGCTTTAAGAACTTTCATGGCACACTGAATTTCTTACCCCTTCTTTGCAGTTGCTCATTTTTTTGTGGATCTTTGATAAAATCTTTAAGTTCTGTAAGGGTGCAGACTGTTTCACTTTCTTGCTGTCTAGTACCTTGCTCTTGGCAGGTTGTCAAACAATATTTGTTGAAATAGTAGCTTGAAGATGATGTGAGTGGGGCTGAGGGAGATCAACTTGGAGAGGTAAAGAAACAGATTTGTAGTAGAAACAAAGATGAGGGGACAGTTAAGCTCTTTTAGGGAAGGATAAATAGAATCTGGAATCTGAAACAAGAAAAGAACAGACATTGATGCTCACACTTTAAACTAGAGTAACTGGGAGAACAGAAATATATACATTCAGCGTAATTCATGCAGCAGTCATTTTGAATGAACCATTGAGGTTGGTATGGGTGAGGAAGAGATATAAAGTAATATTCTGACTTCTGTATTTGAGAAAGTTGGGAGGTTTGCACAGAAGGCAGTTGAAAATTAGCATTTGGTATTTTGAGGAAACATGTTTAGGACTCACTTCTGCCTTTCTGCCTCTGCACTCAGAGCTTTGCTAAAGGAGTACGGATGAGATCACCAAGGGAAGAAAGATGAAAACTCCTCCTAGGTGATCCAAAAATTAGCATGTGAGAACTTTTTCATCGTTATTCTGGTGCCTGGACAATCTTGGGTGCTGCAGGACCTGAGTGCATTGAACTACAGGCTGTTTGCTCAAGAATTTCTGGTGGGGTTCCTGACCTCCTGAGTACGGCACAGGGCCCTGCTGTGGAAGGCCCTTGGTTTGGTATTTGGAACTGAAAAAAAAAAAAGAAAACAACAACACTGCTCTGAATATTCATATATAACTTTATATTCATGTCTCATGCAGACCTTTTTGCCTGGTATATGGTAGATTCTCAAAAAGAAAGACTTGGATGAAGAGAGGGTGTCTAGTGAAACACAAGAGGACTGGGATATGTTTTTATTTTTATTAATTTTTTTGGTTTTTGGGTCACACCTGGTGGTGCTCAGGGGTTACTCCTGGCTCTTTGCTCATGAATTACTCCTGGTGGTGCTCAGGGGACCATATGGGATGCCGGGGATTGAACCCAGGACAGGGATATAAAACTAAATATCCTAGATTATATGTATGTAATGAGGAATTAATAGAGTCTGTAATGAAAAGAAGACAGAAGTAGGCGAAACCAGGAGAAAGACCTTAATAAAAACGAAGGGAGAGAAATCTCACTTCCTGGAATGAGATTCTGTAGGGCTGGAATGGGCCAGAGAAATAAGTAGGAACCAAATCCTTTTACCAATAGAGACTTGATATTTTTGATTTTAGATTTTCTTCAGATGGGCTTAGATTTTCTGAGAAGTGCTACTTTTATGATTTGACTTCTTAGTATGTAAGCCAGCTAGGTATTTTAACATCTCAGATTTCAGTTTGTGACCTAGAAAAACCTTATATCTGGTTTCTGGAAGTGGCACATAATTCACATGTTAAAACACAAAGCCTGATCCTTGGTTAAGAAAAAAAAAGTCCTTATTACTTATAGTACAATATTACTTATGAGTACTTATAAGTACTTATAAATACCATATTACTTATAGTCCTCATTACTTGTGTTTAAGTATGTTAACTTCAGTGCAACGGTGGTACTTGTGTTAAAAAGTTTAAAGTCTTGGGCCAGAGCGATAGTACAGCTGGTAGGATGCTTGCCTTGCATGCGGCCTCCTCAGGTGTGTTCCCCAGCACTCAGCTGGTCCTCGAGCTCTGCCAGGAGTGATCCATGAGCACAGAGCCTGGAACAATCCCTGAGCACTACAGGTGTGGCCAAGAACACATAAAAAAGGGAAAAAATAAAATGTATGATTCAGAGGGCTGGAGCGATAGCACAGTGGGTAGGGAGTTTGCCTTGCAAGCGGCCAACATTGCCGACCCGAGTTCGATTCCTCCGGCCCTCTCGGAGAGCCCGGCAAGCTACCGAGAGTATCTCGCCCGCACGGCAGAGCCTGACAAGCTCCCCGTGACATATTCGGTATGCCAAACACAGTAACAATTGTCACAATGGAAACGTTACTGGGCCTGCTTGAGCAAATCGATGAACAATAGGAGGACAGTGACAGTGACAGAGGTTTTTAAACCTATTCATTGAATGTGCAGCCATTACCGTTATCAAAGCCCATTACTTTTTTTTTTCTCCCCCTTTGTTTTTTGTGCTATATATAGCAGTATTGAGTCGGGGATTTGGGGCCACTTCCTGCAAGGGAAGGGTGAACAGGTAGGTCCAGGTTCTGACATGCTAAACATGTGCTCCAAACGTTTGTGTTTCTGTCCTGGCCTTCTATTATGTTTTTATCATTACAAAAAAGAAACCCATTTTTCTTAGTATTTCCCTCCTGTGTTACCTCCTTCTAGACGTGCAAGCATGAACCTGTTTTATATTTGTATGGCTTTGCTTGTAAGAGCAGATATTTTATCTAAATAGAATAATATCTAATATTTGTTGTTGGGCCTCTTTTCTTCGGATAGTAGTTTCATGGTGCATGTATCAGTACTTCACCCTCTGTCTTGCCAAATGCTATCCTATTACATGGGTGCACCATGTCTTACCTTACCCATTTATTAGTTGTGGGTATTTGAGCTGTTTCTCCATTTTGGCTATTGAGAGTCTGCTAGCAGACTAGGAGGCAGGGGTTCGGGCACATGGTAAGCTGATTGGGTTCTGTCCCCAGCACCTCAAGCTTCCTTGAGTACCAAGTATCAGAGGGTGTGCCTGTGACCTGGGCAGCCCCGGGCACTGTAGGACCCGAGTGTATGGAACCTCAGGCTCGCTTGGGTGGTGGAGGTCGCTGGTAGGGCTGACTTCCAGAGCACCGCGTGGGGCCCTTACCTCTCTGCTTAAGGAAGGCCCGGGTTTGGTATCTGGCACTGAAAAAAAAAATGGTGGTCTGAATATTCATTGCAGACTTCATGGTTTGACATATGTTTTCAATTTTCTTGCGTATATACCTAGGACTATAATTGGTGGATCATGTGGTAACCTAATTTTTTCAGAAACTGCTGGGCTTCGCTGATGTGGTTTTGACATTTTATGGTAACTCTACCAATAAAGATTCCAGTTTCTCCACAGTTCTCCTCAGTTCTCCTCAGTTCTCATTATTGCCACCTTGTGGGAGGGGCGGGGAGAGCTGGACTCTGCCCCACAATTCTCTGGAGACTCTTCCTGCCTTTGTGCTGAGGAGTGAGCCCGGCAGTGCTCAGGGGACTAAATGTGGTACCAGGAATCAAACCAGGTTTGTGACCAAAGCAGCTGCTTCCCGATGTCTTACCTCCAGTACTCTTTCGGGCCCTTTAGTTCTGTCGCGTTGGTTATAACAATGCTAGTGCAGCTTTGGTGGTATTTCATTGTCTTTGATTGAATTTTCCTAATGACTAGTGATATTGAGCATCCTTTCTTGTGCATTCCAATCATCTGGCGTAACTTCTGTGGAGAAAACGGTATCCAAGTTCTTTAGCCATTTAAATGAATCATTTGTGTTTTTACTGTTTTGTTTTTGTACTGGATGACAGTTCTAATGATTACCATCCGAACTCTCTGCTTAGGTCATAATTTCTCTACTCCTTGAGTTCTTCATTAAGTAAATGTATGCAAATATTGACTTAAACACTTAAGGTTATCAATATCAACTTTCTGTTTGTTGTAGAGCAAAATAATCAAGTAATTTGGTAACCCGCTGGTCCTTTCATTGTGCTTTCATAGGTTCTAATTCTGGTTTTAAAATTTATTATTTATTTATTTTGTAATGTAGGAGTACTGCTATTTGTTCAGCCATTGATTAAGCTGATTGAACCGGGCAAGAACGCCACATTTATTATTATTATTATTATTATTATTATTTAATTGTATCACTGTGAGATAGTTACAAAGTTTTCGTGTTTGAGATTCAGCCATACAATGGTGGAACACCCATTCTTCCACCAGTGCATTTTCCATCACCCACATCCCAGTCCTCACCCTGCCTCTGTGGCAGACAATTTCCCCAATACTCTCTCTAATTTTGGGCATTATGTTTTGCTCAAAATTTCCCATCACCATTTAAGCCAGGGGCAGATGCTAGATAATTTATTTTCCATTGCTCATTCTGAGCATAATGAGAGCTCGCACGGCTGCGATTGTAAATGTGAATTTCTAGCTTGTAAATGGATGGGTTTCAGAGATATCTCTGAATGGCGCTAATCCATTTTGGATTCAATTGGGAGTCCCTGGACCAGGGCTGTTGGTGCGCTAAAATGGTGCTCGGAGTCAGATTATGGGCATGACAGCCAGTCTGCTGGGCAGGTGGGGACCTGGGGAGGGACAACCCGGGTCCTCTGCCCCCATGCGGCCTGGAGATTCAGTCCTGGAATCCGCATACCTGGGACTTGCTTGTGGAAGCTCTTGGTCACCAGGATTTCATCTGGAGTAGGCGGGGAGATTCTATCTGGACTAGACTGCTCCATCTGGGGTGCCCCAGTGAAATTGGCCTGGTATGGGATGGAGAGATCTTTGGTGCTGTGGTGTGTTCTGGGACATGCTGCTGTGTCTCTGGGCCAGGGCTGTTGGTGTGCTAAGGTGGTTCCTGGAGGCACGTTGTAGGAGTGACAGCCAGTCTGCTGGGTGGGCGGAGACTGGGGAGGGACAGCCCGGGTCATCTGCTGCCATGCTGCCTGGAGATTCAGTCCTGGAACCTGAATACCTGGGCCTTGCTTGTGGAAGCTCTTGGTCACTGGGATTCCATCTGGAATAGGCCTAAAATTTATTTTCATAGATGCCGTTTTTCCTCTCTGGTGACGCTTCATTATTAATCGTACCGTATTTTGAAAATTGGTTATGCTTATTATTCCTAGATGTCATTGGTCAGAGTGAACCGTTACAGTGCCCGGGGAGGAGGAAGGAAAACGCTGAAAGTAAAGAAGAAGAAAACGCCAGTGAAACAAGAGTGGGATGTAAGTTGCATTGGGCTGAGCAGCAGTGGAATGTGAGTCTGGAGAAAAAGATGGCGATACGGTCCTAGTCACTGAGAATGGTGTCTGAGTAGGGTGACAGACATAACATGGTAGAATCAGGTTCTGGGTGCATGATAAACTAGGTACTGGTGGGAAGAGTGGAATCCTTTGGAGGAGGTTTTAGAATATACATATTGTAGGTCTGACCTATACTTTCTTTGAAGAACTGGAATATTATTTTGTGCATGCTCAAGCAAATCGATGAACAATGGGAGGACAGTGCTACAGTTTCTTTTTCTTTGTGTGTGTGTGTGTGTATGTGAATCACAGTGAGATATGCAGTTACAAAGTTGTTCTTTATTGGGTTTCAGTCATACAATGCTCCAACACCTGTCCTTTCACCAGTGTACATTTTCTACCACCAATATCCCCAGTTTCCCTCCTCCTCCTCCTCCTCCTTCTCCTCCTTTTCATCCTCCTCCTTCTCCTCCTCTTCCTCCTCCCGCTCCCCCCTTCTCCTCCTCTTCCTCCTCCTCCTTCTCTTCCTCTTCCTCCTCCCGCTCCCCCCTTCTCCTCCTCCTCCTCCTCCTCCTCCTATATATGGAAAGAAAAATCATTTATCCTAAAATTTGAAATCGATTTTTAATCATTGAGATGGACTATATTTTGGCTTTACAATTCAGTACGTACTAATATTTTTATTTTTAAGGAAAGTTTATTGTTTTTTTTTTTTAATAGAATACTGTGCATGATCTCACGGTGCATCGGGCCACTCCTGAGGATCTGGTAAGATTAGGATCAGAAGTTCAGTCATTTGTTTAATCTTTTATTTGATATTTGGCTTCTGACCTTCAGAACTGAAAGTTGAGGTACTTCCTTGAAGTAGTTATATTTCATTTGGCTTGTATCTAAGCATGTTACCCGGATGTTCTGCTTCTATCCAGGAAGAGCAGCATGTATCAGAATTTCTTTAGGTGAATTTGATTGACCATCCAAATCTTCCCAATAGTTTCTTGTACACTTCAGTTATCTTTTCCTGTCTGTAGACATCTCCCGCATTATTTGTTGTTTCCTTTGTATACAAACCTACTGAACTGGTCAATGTAGTAATTTATTCCTTGAATAGATTTCTATATTTTCACCCCAATTTGGCTGGAGCAATAGCACAGCGGGTAGGGCGTTTACCTTTCACGCGGCCGACCTGGCTTTGATTCCTCCATCCCTCTCGGAGAGCCAGGCAAGCTACTGAGAGTATCCCGCCCACATGGCAGAGCCTGGCAAGCTCCCGGTGGCTTATTCGATATGCCAAAAACAGTAACAAGTCTCACAATGGAGACGTAACTGGTGCCCATTTGAGCAAATTGATGAACAACGAGACAACAGTGCTACAGTGTTATAACCCCAATTCATACTGCTTTCGTTATTTAGCATAGTTTCATATCTTCAAGAATTAATTAAAAACATTAATGTGTAGGTTTTGGATTCACACTTGGCTGTGCTTGGTGGACCATGTCCTAAGGATTGGACTTCAATCTACTGCATTCAGAACATACTTACCAAAAGTATGAGGTCTGATGTCTCATTAAATAATGACTCAAAAATATGACTTAAGATTTTTCTTTTCATAATTTCAAACCTATGTGAAAGTGGAGAAAAAAGTATTTTTCATTTAATCTGGTTCTGAGTCTTTTTTAACGGCATTTAGAATATTTAAAACGTTAATATTTACAAACATAGGCATATGTAGGATCAGAAAAAATAGTTATAAAATTAGCTAGATGAAGTGGCCCTACCAACTGAACAGGCAAGTTTTTTTTGTTCCTGTAACATCCTTATATATATTTTTTCTTCTCTGTAGATACGTCGTCATGAAATACACAAATCAAAAAACAGAGCATTAGTCCACTGGGAACTCCAAGAAAAAGCTCTGAAGAAAAAGTGGAAGAAGCAGAAACCAGATATTTCCTCTCTTGAGAAAAGGAGATTGTCTATCATGAAGGAGGTATTGCTAAGCTTATTCACTGTAGAATTACAGTAAGAGAAACAGAATTGCTTTCTCTTCCATCAAGAAAAAAAAATATATCTACTTTTTCCTTTTGTTTGGGATGCACACATGGCAGTGTTCAGGGATTGTTCCTGGCCTCTGAGCCCAGGAGTCCTCCTGTGGGCTCAGGGGATCAGATGGGGTGCTGAGATCCAACACAGATTGGCTCGTGCAAAGCAAACGCCCGACATGCCATGCTATCGCTCTGGCCCCTACAGTATAGTTTTTATTGAAACTTGTTTAGAAAGGCATGGGGAGCAAGAGAGGGAGAAGTGTGTGCTCAAGAGAAAACACAGACTTCTCTAGAGTGAAACAGAAGACAGACAAGCGAGCAAGATATGTGTTCAAGGGAGAACATGGGCTTGAAGAGCAAAGCCCCTGCCAGCAAATCTGAATCACGTTGGAGAGACATGAAGAAATAGGACAAACAAGAATAAAAAGAGATAAAATAGGAATACCGTTACTTACCTGATGGTATTGTATGATTTCAGTGACATAAAACTAATGGTGTAATTAGTTTCATCTGTATTCAAGGTGCTAGATCCATTTTTCTCAGTTTGCCAGTTGTACTGTAAGAGGACTTTGCAGAAAAAGAAAAGCTTGTCCAACAAGATAGTTATAAGCCACTTGACTTACTCTTTTACTAGACTGATAGGGTGTTTGGAAAATGTATCATCCTCTGTCTTTTTTATGGGGCTGGAGTGATAGCACAGGCGATAGGGCATTTGCCTTTCATATGGCCGACTCGGCTTCAATTTCTCCATCCCTCTCCAAGAGCCCGGCAAGCTGCTGAGGTTATCCCGTCCGCACGGCAGCAAGCACCCCATGGCCTGTTCGATACGCCAAAAACAATAACAAGTCTCACAATGGAGATGTTACTGGTGCCCACTCCAGCAAATCGACGGATAACAGGAGGACAGTCCTACAGTGCTACAGGACATAAATTCATAAATTTTATGAATTTATGAATTCATAAAATGCATACAGTCTTTTTATCAATTTATTAGGCATAATGAAATGTAAGCCTTAATCTTATATCTTGGGCTGGAACAACAGCACAGCAGGTAAGGCGTTTGCCTTGCACGTGGCCGACATGACCAACCCAGGTTTGATTCCTCCACCCCTCTCGGAGAGCCTGGCAAGCTAACGAGAGTATCTCGCCCGCATGGCAGAGCCTGGCAAGCTACCTGTGTTGTATTCAGTATGCCAAAAACAGTAACGACAAGTCTCACAAGTCTCACAGTAACGTTGTGAGACGTTACTGGTGCCCGCTCGAGCAAATCAATGAACAATGGGAGGACAGTGCTATCAGTGCTAATCTTAAAGCTTATCAGGAAGAATTAGATCCTTTACATTTTTTAATTTTTTTATTTTTTGCTTTTTGGGTCATAGCCGGTGATGCACAGGGGTTACGCCTGGCTCATGCACTCAGGAATTACTCCTGGCAGTGCTCGGGGGACCATATGGGATGCTGGGAATCGAACCCAAGTCAGCTGCATGCAAGGGAAACGCCCTTCCTGCTGTGCTATCACTCTAGCCCCAGGATCTTTTACATTTTTTTATATGAATTTGTAAAAAAGAAAATAAGCTGAAGGAGAATAGTTTCTGTTTGTTGCTTTCTTCTTGTGGTGGGGTGGGAGTGGGTGCGCGTCACACCCTGCAGTGTGCAGGGCTCACTCCTGCTCTGCCCAGGGATCCCTTCTGGAGGGGCTCAGGTGGCCCTCCTGGTCAGGATCAAGCCTGGGCTGGCCGTCTGCAAGGCAAGCACGTTGATCCCTGGACTGTCTCTCCGGGCTGGTTGTTGCTTTTTATTTTTTCTTTCTGTAGTTGTTGGGCCACACTCGGTGACACTTTGGGGCTAAGGGCCACTCCTGGTGGTATGTTCTAGGAGTCATGCGGTAATGGGGATCAAACACAGGGTGTAGCACATGCAAGGCCGGAACTATATCCCAGGCCCTGTGATACACAATTTTTTTAAAAAAAATTTTTAAATTTTTTTCTCTCTGTTTGTGGGTAGTACTCAACAGTACTCAGGGCTTACTCCTGGCTCAGTGCTCAGAGATCGCTCCTGATGGTGCTCAGGGGACTGTTATGTGGTGCCATGGACAGAACTGGAGTTGGCTGTGTTGAAAGCAAGCAACCCCCTGTACAGTTTCTTCTGCCTCAGTTTTGAATATATATATATATTTTGCTTTTTTTGGGGTCACACCCGGCAATGCACAGGGGTTACTCCTGGCTCATGCACTCAGGAATTACTCCTGGCGGTGCTCGGGGGACCATATGGGATGCTGGGAATCGAACCCGGGTCAGCCATGTACAAGGCAAACGCCCGACCCGCTGTGCTATCGCTCCAGCCCCCTCAGTTTTGAATATTAAACTCTTTGTTTTTGTTTGTTTCTCGCCCCCCCCTCCATACTGCCCCCCTCCCCGTCACTCTTGGCATTGCTTCGGACTTACTTTTGACTCTGTGCTTGGGAAACCATATGCTCTGCTGGGATCTGAGTCAAACCTGGGTCAGACACGGGCAAGGCAGTCTCCTTAGCCTCTGTACTCACTCAGGTCTAAATAATAAATTCTTAAAACTTCCATTGGCGAAGCCAGAGCAGTAGTGCAGTGGGTACTATTTCCTTGTGTGCCGCCAATCTCGGCTAGATCCCATGGCACTCCGTATGAGCCCCTGAGCCTGCCAGGAGTGATCCCCGAACACCACCGGGTGGGACCCTAACAAACAACAAAACAAAAATTTCCACTAGGAAATACTTTATGTAAGTTTTCTTCTAGTGTAATTGCTATGTGATAATGCTTTATCACGTGCAAGAAGTTGGGATCGAAACCTGATTCAGGGCATCTTAGAATTTAAACTGTAATATTATTTTTAAGTGTTTCTGCAGTGGTATCAGGTTTTCACTTTGTTTGCATACTCTGGTTCACATGCCTGTGATGGTGGGTAGATTGCTGTGTATTTCCTTACACATTAGGAAACTAAGTTGGATTTCTGGGACCAGAGACATATGACAGCGGGCAGGGCTTTTTGCCTTGCAAATCACCAACTTGGGTTCAGTTCTTGACACCCTAAATGGTCTCCTGAGCCCTGCCAGGAGTGACCCCTGAGCCTTGTGCACAATTGGCTGTGGCCTAATCTCCGCCCCCACGCCCCCCAGAGAAAGAACTAAAAGATGTTGGATTTCTTCCAGTTTTCTGCCGCCAATTTGCGATCTCTGCCGGAACCTTCCATAACTTTGTCTGTGTGGTAGAAACAAATTGAGGACTTGATTCTCATCAGCTGAGCTACCAGTGTAACGTTCTAGAAGAGGAAAAAGACTGTGACTCTTGTTATTTTTCTCAGTATCCAAAAGCAGTGATCAAAGTTATACTATACTTATGTTTTCTCGGTAAAATTCTGGTAAGAACTTCTGTTACCAGACGTCATCATGATTTGAGTCCATGTTGAAACTGGGCAGTTTCCATTTTTGAGATCTCTTTCGCCTAAGGGGTGCCACCTGCTGGTGGTGGGTAGACTTGACGGGGGTTTTTCCCTTCTGGTCTGCGTGCTCTTGGCTGTAATTATGAAAGTTCCTAAGTAAGAAGTGTGTGATCAGAATCACTGCTGCATTGATATTTTTTGTAGTCTGTCTCTCCAAGACAAATGCACGACTCATTTTTAAATGTAGAAATATCATTGTTTCATTTAATGGTCCCAGACTCTTGTCTTACATAATGCTATTTGCGGGTCATAACTTTTTAGTAGATCAGCCCAACACTTTAGTAGTTGAAACACCTCTGAATTTTGGGACTCAGCAGTTCACATCTTTAATCGCTTAGGTGATTAAACTGTTCTCAAACTGGATCACATCTTGTTAATGGATTGTGAAAATAAACAACCTTTATTAGATCAGAGGGGTTTGAAAACTTTTATTATATTTATACTTATTTAATTTTATTATTTTTTTTTGTATTTTAAAAGAGTAAGAGTAAGGATAATTGAAAGTTTTATTTTATTTAAGTTATGTTTGTTTGAGTAGTGGGTCACAATTAGTAATGTATTTCTTCAAATTGCAATAAAGCATGTGAAGTTCACAGTTACTGTAATAGCCCCATCTTCTGGTATTTAAGGATATTGCTACTGAAACAGGTTTGAGGAGATAGTGACCTATATTAGATTTATGCTTAAAAAGTATAGACTTTTCTTTCATAATTCAATAAGAACATAATGTGTGTATATGTATATTTATATATTTTTTATGAATAACATTTATTATTAACACATCTAGATCCTTTCTGAGCAGTACCAGATGCAGGATGCATTGAAAAAATCTGATCATATGATAACTGTAGCAAAAGATCTGTTTGCTGACTTTCCTCGTAAGCGAACTGGTAAAGTATTCAATTAAGTAGTTTCTTTTTTTCATTTCTGGCTAATTGGAAGAATTCCTAATCTTTTTTCAGGTGTCTATATTATTTGTATTATAAGTGATCTCAGGTGGAGAGAATCTAAATTATGCATGCATATTTGTCACAATTTATTTGTTTTTCAATAAAAACATTTCCTTTTCAATAGGAAAGCATTTCTAAGAAAGCAATTATAACTACTCAGTGAGTGAAAAAAGTATTTTTATCATATAATAAAATATTCTATGATGCAATATTTAAGATTTTATAAATTATGATTCATTTTTTTATAATTTAATTCTCACATAATTAAAGTAATATGATTGAGTAAGGCTTAACTTGAAACCTAAAACAGCTTTTTTCTTTCTTAAATGAAATTTTGTCTTTTGACAGATACACAGCATTATTTGCTTTAATCTGTATATAAACCATTGTTTCTCTTAATTTCTAAAAACAAACCATTAATTTTTAATTTTGGTTGAATTCTGATGTGATCACTTATTAGTTTGACCCCCAGGCTACTTCTTTTACATCTCTGGGTTTCAATTTACTGATCTATAATAGGACAATGAAAATCACCTCTTAGAGTTTTTGAAAGCAAAGTTATTTAATATAAGTAAAATGTTGTGGAGTGGTGTCAGTCATATAGTAAGCACTGTGTATGTGTGTTACAGTTACTCTTTCTTTATTTTCAACATGATGATACAAACCTGTGACAGTGTTTTGTGCTTTATAAAATCAGTTTACTTATATGAAATAAACTGATTATGACTTAATTTGCCTACAGCAGGGTTTCCAAATATAACAATGGCTCCTGATCAGGACTCTGTCACTCAGTTTAGATGCAGTGACGCGGTGGAAACTCAGGTAACGTGTTCTGCTTACAGCTTGTAGAGAAATCAAGTTTACTTGGATTCAGGCATTGTGGAAAATATTAAATGTCAATAAATACCGAGTTGTGTTTGCTAGGATTACTCTTACTCAAACATATTGTATTTTGTGATTATATTAAGATAGAATTGGATGATAATAGGTAAAGGTAAAGGTAAAGGTCCTCCCGTTGATCGTCGATTTGCTCGAGCGGGCCCAGTAACGTCTCCATTGGAGACTTTGTTGTTACTGTGTCTGGCATATCGAATACGTCACGGGGAGCTTGCCAGGCTCTGCCGTGCGGGCGAGATACTCTCCGTAGCTTGCTGGGCTCTCCGAGAGGGGCGGAGGAATCGAACTCGGGTCGGCCATGTTGGCCGCGTGTAAGGTGAACGCCCTACCCGCTGTGCTATCGCTCCATAGTTGTATTTATTTAATTAGGAGGTAGATATATTTATTATCCCTGTTTAGCAGATGAAAAAACTTAGAGCCTGAAAGACTAGGTGACTTGTCCAAAATCCCAGAGCTGGTTAGCGTCAGGACACTGGAATGCAACCTGTTCTCTCTCTGTAGGACAGTGCCCCCCTCTGCCAGTGTGGAGCCAGCAGAGAATCTTCCTGAGGCCCGTTAGGAAACAGGGGATTCTTTATTCATAATTGAGTACTTTAATGGCTAGAGTTTGAGTTGACATTTTTCAAGTATTTGAAAGGACTCAGAATATTTTCTTTTGTTTTTCTGTTTAATGGGAATAAAATATACTTGCAACACTGAGGTGAGAATCTGCTGAGATAGGTTATGTATGATACCAAATATTGATTCTTCGTTAAATTGTAATCCCTTCTAATGTAGTAAGGTGTTTTAAAAGTAGCTATTCAAGAAACTTAACAGTTTACTGACTGTGGGGGTATGGCGCTGCCAGCAGGTCAATCTGTACCTGCGAGGTCAGTGTATCAGCAGCCTGATGGCGCCTTCCAGACACTCCAAAATTGCTTCTGTGCCTTTGGCCAGACCCCAAAAACTTGGGGCAAAGTTCACTGAGAAAGTAAAGGGCAAAAAGTTAGGTATGTGGGAGACATACCCACAAATCAACTCTGGCTCAGCTATATAATTGGAGGGAAGGCCTTTCTGGTTGCTGATTAAACTGCTTAATGGCCATGATCCCAGAGACTCAGAGACAAATCTTGGAACCCAGCGGCTTTTGGTAGAGATGTATCCGGTCTCTGCAATGGGTTACTGGCGTCAGACCACCCCAGGGGGGAAAGGGTGTTGTCCCTCTGCCTGCTCCCCCTTGGTGGCTCAGTGGCCGCCATCTTCCAGAGGCCATTGGACAGTCAGGTTTGGGCCCGCAGTGACGAGACACGCGGGGCCTCACAGGATGGGGTGGAACCGGCCCTTTCCTCCCCATCCCAATGAGACCCTGAGTCGCCACCCATGAATGGCTGCTCTCTGGCTCCTGACCAAGCTGCTTAACAGCCATGATCCAAGAGACTCAGGAATAAATCTCGGAACCCAGCAGGTTTTGACAGAAATCCCTCTAGATTTAATTGTTAAAATTTCGAATTCCAAAATCGCATGGCCGCTACTATGGCTGCATGGCATCATATGTTATTCATAACCGGCAATAGAAAACAAATTGTTTAATGTTGCCTTTTCGGCAGATCTGAGTGTTGGGGTAAATTACATCCCCAATAATAATGGTGGATCTGGTGTCAAAATATTGAATGTAATCAAAGTAGAGAGAGAGTAGTGTGTAAATCATCTGCCCCACAGGTAGGGGGAGGGTGTGGGATGGAGAGTATACTGGGGTTTTTGGTGGTGGAAAATGGGCACTGGTGAAGGTACAGGTGTTTCATTGTATGACCGAGACTTAAACCCAAAAGCTTTGTAACTGCTCTCACGGTAATTCAATAAATAAAATTATAAAAAAGGAAAAAAAAGTAAAGTTGAGTTCATACCCAATTCAATCAGCCTAATCAATGGCTAAATAAATAGCAATACTCTTACATTAAAAAAAAAAGTTTACTGACTAATTGCATCAAACAGTTTTGTAGTAGCAGTAGAACATGACTCAGCTATAACCTAGCCTAATTGGAGCTCTTGAAACTTTTAAAGGAAATTTCTTGTTATTAATTTCCGCTATTAAAAAAGAATAATTAATGAAAGGGAAATACTATTAAGAAATCATGAGATCCAGAATTATAAAAGTCATATTAAGAGGCCTGAGAGATAGTATAGTGAAGAAGGTACCTGATTTGTTTGCAGCTGATCCAGGTTCAGTTCCTGGCATCCCATATGGTCCCCTGATCACTTCTGGGATTCCTCAGTGCAGGGCCAGGAGAACCCTGAGCATTAGCGTTTGCCCTCTATCCCCCCAAGAAATTAGGGTTTGCCTTCTGTCCGCCCCAAGAAAGGCACGTTAAATACGTTTGTTTTCTAATTACAAAGGCAATTAAGCATTATGTTACATATATGTGAGGGGCTGGAGCGATAGCACAGTGGGTAGGGTGTTTGCCTTGCACGCGGCTGACCCAGGTTCAATTCCTCCGTCCCTCTCAGAGAGCCCGGCAAGCTACCGAGAGTATTCCGCCTGCACGGCAGAGCCTGACAAGCTCCCTGTGGTGTATTTGATATGCCAAAAACAGTAACAACATGTCTCATAATGGAGATGTTACTGGTGCCTGCTTGAGCAAATCGATAAACATTGGGAGGACAGTGCTATCCAGATATCAAGGCATAGACATTGACATCCAACTGCCTAAAAGATAGTACTAGTAGAACAGCTTACATTTACAGTCTCAACAGATCCAAAACTCATCATCTATACTCCTATCATTCTTCAAGAAATCTTGCTCTTGTCATATTATCTAAATCCACACAGAGTATAATCATCTCCTCAGATGCTTAATCCGGCAAACTGAGATTATTCTTTTTATCTATCAGACCCTGCCAGCCACCCAGATTGTCAATTCAATCCTATTTTAATCTGTCAAACCTGTCCCTCTCCCCTCCACCTCCTTCCCTATTGCACTGTTTGAGTCAAGCTCTCACTAAGATTCCCACTTGTCTTTTTACCAGATCCTTACACCAGTCTTGTCCCCAGTCCACTGTCCACACTATAGTCAACTTCATTGTAATTCAGCTCTTAAAATCTTCGAACGACTCTGCCCAATCTCTGACTCTGTTGGCCTTCGTGTCCTGACATCTCCCTGTCCACAGGAACTTCAGCTCTTGTTATGCTCCCACTCTTATGAAAGATATAATGACTATCTGAAAGACAACTTTTAAATAAATTCTAAAATATAAATGCTTTGGATTAGGGACAATGTTACATAGTTTGGGTTATTTCACATATGTTGTTTATATATGAAATATATAAATTTTTTTTATCACTATCGCTCCAGTTCTGATATATGGGAAAAGAAGGAAATTTAGAAATGGATAGTTTGACTTGTAACTGTAGCTTTGGAATGAAATAATCTTTCAGAAAGTAATGTATCGAAGGGGTTCTCAAATATGACAAAGGAACCACAAATACCTGTATAATCAACTTGTGTATTATTTTCATTTTTGTGTTGAGAAAGGCTCTAAATGAAGTAGAGAATGATGAAGAGGAAGGAACTGTTCCATCAGAAGAAAGTGAGAATGAATTGGACAACTCTCTTGTTTCTCAGTCTAACATGACTAGAGACAGGTATGTGCACATGGCATAAGTATCTACAGTATTTCCTATTTCACAAGGTCATTTCTTACCCCCTGCAGCTTTATTGAGATGTAATTGACATGTAAGGCATAAACAAGTTGATAGGTCTCGCAAAATGATTATCATCAGAACATTAGCTAAATGTCCTCTGCCCCCGCGCCTGGCTGTTCCTCGCCGAGGCCCCTTGGAGGGGAGCGGGTTGAGCTTTCCTCCCTGCCCCGACCAGGGCTCCGGCAGCCGAAGACCTCCAGGACCAGCCACCACCATGCTGGGACCACTCTCCGCACACATGAAGGTACTGGCAGAGGGACAAAGCCACGCGGGTTCCGGGGCCGAGACCTCCAAGCCTACTCGAATTGGAGTCGAGCATCTTCCACCCAGATCCTCCAAATTCCAGTAGGCGGGGGTCACACCCACCACCTGGCCCCCTGGCGCCGTGTAATCCCATCAGCGGCCAAGACTCAGAGACTATAAAATCCAGATCCCGGAACATCTTATCAGGACTTTTTTTTAATGACATCTTATTGTCTCATTACTACTTTGGACAAACTTGCAGGCTCTCGAATGTAGCCTGCCCACAGGGCAGAGTCTGGCAAACTCCCCGTGGCGTACCAAATATGCCAAATACCAGTAACAATGATGGGTCTCATTCTCCTAAAGAGCCTTGAATATAATCTCAGGGCTAGGATGAAAGAGACGTTACTGGGGCCTGCTCGAGGCAATCGATGAATAACAGGATGATGAAAATGAAAATGAATTAGCTAAATACTTCCAGAAAATCATGTAATCACTGTTTTTTGTGTGAAATGTGAACATTTAAAATGTACTCACTTAGCAACTATTAAGTATATAATTCAAGATTATTAGTTATCACCATGGTGTACGTTAGATCCTCAAAAATCTATGTATGTTATAATGGGAAGTCTGTTTCTTTTTACATAGTCCTATTTCTTCCTCCCCTCTAACTCAGGAATCTCCAAATGTATTTGTCCTAACACCACTCCTGTTTGAGAAAAAGATTGCTCAGTGCTCCTGAGTAATTTTTAAGAGAAAATGTTTTATTTATTTATTTATTTATTTATTTTTGCTTTTTGGGTCTCACCCAGCGATGCACAGGGGTTATTCTTGCCTCATGCACTTAGGAATTACTCCTGGCAGTGATTGGGGGACCATATGGGATCCTGGGAATTGGACCCGGGTCGGCTGTGTGCAAGGCAAACACCCTACCTGCTGTGCCTCCAGACCCAGAAAATTTTTCTTTAAGTGAACAGACAGAAAGGAGCCCCACAGTTGCACCTGAGGTTGTTAACACTGTCCCTATCATTTCAGTTCCCTGAATCACCCCCCTGGAAAACCGCTTCTAAACCCTTGTAATCACCTTTCTACCTATCTACTTGTACATTCAGCTCTATACCTACAGCTCTGACCTTGAAATCATTCTTTCCTTGTTTTAGAAACCCGTGTTTGCAGTTGAGTAATTTTATCAGCCTGTTTAACTGTGGAAATCTGGGGGTCTTTAACCTTTCATTTCTTCTCTCTCTCCTTTCAGACTTACTGTGGTAGAATTTCTGTTGGGATAATATTCTCAAGAGAGTCTGTGGGTCTCTTGTGTTTGTCACAGGAATGTGTGACTTTAGACGAGAATTCCTCCATTCTTGGAAAATTCCTTTTCTGTTGCTGATTTCCGCTTGTTCATTGAGGGGAAGCATAAGTCAAATGCCTGGTCTCTTCAGGTTTGCAATACTTTGCTCAGTTATTCACTTGCTGAAGAACGCTTTCCTGATTGCCACTACTGGCTGGAGCGATAGCACAGCGGTAGGGTGTCTGCCTTGCACGCGGCCAACATGGCCGACCCGAGTTCGATTCCTCCGCCCCTCTCGGAGAGCCCGGCAAGCTACCGAGAGTATTCGATATGCCAGACACAGTAACAACAAAGTCTCCAATGGAGACGTTACTGGGCCCGCTCGAGCAAATCGACGATCAACGGGAGGGCCTTTACCTTACCTTTACTGTGAGCATCCTTTGTGGTTTGGGTAGGATGAGAATTTTTTTTACATTGTTGTAGTTTCTTTATACTTAACGATTTTGCCCCCAAATGATCTCATGATCTCTTTCCTCCTGTGATTCACTTTCCTTAGCAAGATAAGAGGACGGGCTGCAACTTTAGCACTTTGTTTGGAAATCTCCGTAGCTAAATATTCAGTTTAAAAAAAAATAAATAAATATTCAGTTTTACTTCTTATATGTGCTGTTTCCATATAACTCGGCTAGGTTTCCTCCACTTCATTAGTAAGGATTGCTGTTCAGCTGCCAATAACATGTTCCTAATTTCTTTCAAAACTCGCATAGGAAGCTCCTTTAACATTCATGTTACCACTTTTTCCTTTAGGATGATATCTTATTCTTTAAGATGTTATAATATGTTTTCTCTATGTTACATGCTTCCTACCATATTCCTCACTTCCCCAAGAGCCCTAACTGGAAGAGTTCTTGGCATTTGCTTAGAACATAGTCTGTTTAATGCAATCCGGGCCTTTCTTCTTATCTCGTAAAAATTCTTTCAGTCTTGGTCCAATTTCAAAGCTACTTCTACATTTTAAAGTGTTTGTTATACCAGTACTCAAGATATGGCACCAAAATCTGTATCAGTTTCCACCGCTGCTTTAACAAACTAACACAAACTCGATACTTTAAATGACAGGAACTTTTCCCTCACAGCACTGGAGGCCAGAAATCTGTAGTCAATTTCACCTGGCTGACACCAAGCTATCGTGGGCCAATCTGGGTACTTCTGGGGGATAGTTTCATTCCTGTCGCATTACTGCAGTCTCTGCATCCATCCCCACCCCACCTTCCCTTTCAGTTGTCAGAGCTCCTGTGCCTCCCTCTTTAGGAGCTACATGGTTGCATTCAGGCTCAGCTTTCTGTCTGTCTCAATATCCTTAACTCCACCACATAATGTATGTGAAGTTGGATCAGGTAAGTTACCATTCTCCGGTTCCAGGAATTAGATTGCGTTTTTCTGTAAAGGATTGTTAAGTCTACTTGTGATCATATTACATATTTTTCTTGTGGCTATTGTTTCATGTAACTGAACTCTGAAAAGTATAAATGAGTCTGGGGGGAAAACTCGGAGGGTTGGAGTGCATGCCTTGCATATGCCAGATTCCAGACCCCAGTGTCACATGGCCTCTGTCCCTAAGCATTACTGGATGTGGAACTGTCAGGTTGTAACAGCTTTATTGATCTATTTTACATAATCCACTCATTGAAAGTATAGTATTTATTGGCTCAGTGTGTTTACAAAGTTGTATAGCCCACAGCCAATGTTAGAGCATTTTTACTGTTCTGAAAGAGAACCCGTACTCTCTAATAGTCAGACCCTTTTTTCTTCCAAATCGTTTAGCTCTATCAAATATATTAAATTGATTTTTTTGTTTCTCTATAATTGGCCAATATTCTGGACATTTCATTTACCTAGAATCATGCAGTATGTCCATTTTGTGTCTTTCATGTAGCATAGTATTTTTTCAAAATAGCCATGTTGTAGCAAGTGTTCTACTCTCTTTTTTAATTTATTTTATTTTATTCATTTATTTTTGCTTTTTGGGTCACACCCAGCGATGCACAAAGGTTACTCCTGACTCTGCACTCAGGAATCACCCCTGGCAGTGCTCAGGGGACCATATGGGATTCTGGGAATTGAACCCGAGTTGGCCGCGTGCAAGGCAAGCGCACTACCCGCTGTGCTATTGCTCCAGCCCCAAGTGTTCTACTCTCTTAATGACTGAATAATATTTCATTGTGTGGATGCAGCATTTTGTAAGTAACCATTTACCAGCTGGTTGGCATTTGGACCTTTTGGTTGGTTGGTTCTTGTTTTTCACTCTGTCTCTGTACCTCTCTTCAGTCAGTTCAGTGGAGAAATGAATCTGACAAATAGAAATGAGAGCCTTCACTTTATCGGCGATCAAGATAATGCTAGCACTGACTCTGCTCTCTTTTCCTCTCCTCCTCTGTCCCCTACATGGAGGACAGAGTCTGCTCCCATCGGTAATTCAGTGATGAGCAGAGATTGGTACTGAAGATCAGCACGTTTGTAGGAGAGAAAAGCTAGAAGGCCCAGCAGTGTGCTTTGTTTAGAAAAAGGGAGTGGAAAAAGGAGCCTGAGCCTCAAAGGGCAAAACCCTCTGGCTAGGAAAGTCGGTTATAGGTAGGAAACTGGGAGGAAGGTGGAATCATGGGCATTTTGACTCTTTTTTTTTTCTTTTTAATTAAAGCAAAATATAGTTTTTCTTTTTTTAAAGTCCAATCAAACATGTAAGCAGTATAAAAGTTCAAATACGTGTGTGGCCCCCCACAAAAAATAAATGTAAATGCTAGCATGTTTGATTTTTTAATATAACTTGTTGACCATTAATTTGTAGGTTTCTCCATCAACTCAAGGAAGATAATTCTGAGTTAATTAATAAGATGTTGACTGACATACAGGAGAAAATATCAGCACAATCACAGACAACTCCTCCAGCAACTCCACCAACTGCCTCTCTGTCAGGGGAACAAAAAGGTTTGTTCCCCATGATCTCATCTATCACAGAGTAGTAGCGTCTGTGTGTGTGTGTGTGTGTGTGTGTGTGTGTGTGTGTGTGTGAGAGAGAGAATGTGAGAGAGAGACAGAGACAGACAGACAGACAGACAGAGACAGAGAGCTAGAGGCAGAGAAGTCACAGTAATTTTTAAATCATTGTTATTTAGTTTTGGCTGTTGTAGCCTAATTGAGTGGAATATTGACTGATCTGTCAGTTGAATTGTTTAAAGACTTTTGTTTACTTGAGAGTCTTTGTGGGACTGTTCTTCATTCTAGCCGCTCTGAATGCCACGAGTGCTGTCAAGAGGATCCACACCAAGCTTCAGCCTAAAGAATCTGCCGACACTCTCCACTCAAACTATGTTGTGGGACAAGTGCTGAACTCCAGGAGGCATAAACAGCTGTTAAGTAAAGGTACCGTTCCCTCAGAATTAGAAGGATTTGCTCAAGCGGGCCCAGTAACGTCTCCATTGTCAGACTCGTTGTTACTGTGTTTGGCATATCGAATACGTCACGGGTACCTGGCCAGGCTTTGCTGTGTGGGCGAGATACTCTCGGTAGCTTGCAGGGCTCTCCTAGAGGGGCGAAGGAATCGCGAAGGAATCAAACCTGGCTCGGCCAGCCAGTCCTGCACAAGGCACACGCCCTACCGCTGTGCTATCGCTCCAGCTGGTAGCACAGTGGGTAGGGCGTTTGCCTTACACGCAGCCAACATAGCCGACCCGAGTTCGATTCCTCCACCCCTCTCGGAGAGCCTGGCAAACTACCGAGAGTATCTCGCCTGCACAGCAAAGCCTGGCAAGCTACCCGTGACGTATTCAATATGCCAAACACAGTAACAAGTCTCACAATGTTATTGGGTCCGCTCGAGCAAAATTACAAGGATGAATGATTAAATATGTAACTGAATAACCTGATCTCTTAGTATGTCTTACCTTAAATTCATTCTTTTGGATCCACCAAAGTGAGTTATATGACTGGTAGCTAAGAAATGACTCGGTTCTTTCTACAGTTATGAAAAGAGTCATTTCTTAGGTACCAGTTCTAGCTTCTTTGTAGGCAGTATATTCTTCATGGGTAGTATAAGCCTGGCTTAAAGTGTATAGATTGTTTATGTTTGTTTGTTTTCAGGGAAAAAAGTAAGAGCTGCTGGGGGCTGGAGAGAGAGAGAGAGAGTACTGGAGTTGGGTCTGTGCTTTGCATGTAGCTTGCCTGGATTTGATAGCTGGCACCCCATATGGACTCCTGAACATGACCAGGATGATTCTTGAGTATAGAGCCAGGAGTAAGCCCTGAGCACAACCAGGTGTGGCCCCAAACTCGAACAAACCAAGACAGTGAGAGCTGCTATTAAGACCGTTCACAAATTCAGAATGACGGATTTTTGGAGGTCCCTGACCATTTTGCTCAGGGGCCCCAGACTCTGTCTGGTGATACTTGACTGGTACTGCGACATGCGGGGCCGCTTCATGCAAGGCCTGTGTCCACTACTTTGAGCCCTTTTCCTGCTAGCATTTTCATTCTGGCCCTAACAGAATGACTTCTGTCCTTATCAGTGAAAAGAAAACCAGACTTGCCTGATCCTCCCAAGCAGAAGAAAAATCCCTTATCAGCCAGCACAGCCTCCGCAGACACCAGCAGCAGTCACGCAGGCCTGGGCATCGACGTCCTCAAACACATGATACACGACGTGGAGCGGGAGATGGAGGAGTACGAGCGCTGGACAGGGCGCGAGGTGAAGGGGCTACAGAGCAGCCAGGGCCTCACGGGTTTCACCTTGTCGCTGGTGAGCTCCCTCTGCCGCCTCATTCGCTACCTCAGGGAGGTAAGGTCAGAGTCTATTAAAAACAATAACAACAACAGCAATCTATATATATATATATATCATTCTCCAAATGAAGTCAAATTTGAGTAACTTTATAGTGCCCCCGTTTTGGATTTTTTTCTTTGGTCATGGTTTTTTCCTCTTCATTTCCCACCACATGCTGATACTTGTTGGTATCTTTCACGTAACTGGTATTGATCTGAACGTGAGTTTTATTCAAATGAAATTGGTAAGGTGAATCTTGGGTTAATCAGAACGTCTCGTGTGAGTGATGAATGTTGCAGTTTCGCAGTAGTAGGTGCAGCAGAATTACTTGCTACGTGGAATTGTTTCTCTCTGCTGTCTGCTCCTGGCTTCATTTGTATGTTCAGTGTGAAGAGAGGTGGGAGGTTACCTGTAGACACAGACTGGGAAAATTCTCTATTTCTTTTGAATTGTGGGTAACTGGGGTTTGCTTCAGTTCAGAAGGGGAACGTACTTTGTTGTTGTCAAAACAACTAAATAAACAAAGAACCAGCAAGAACTATATCTTGAAGGCCCCAGCATACTTCTCAGTAAGTGCTGTTCTTAACTGTGTGAGTGCCTGAGGAAGATCCCTGGCACTGCAGGGAAAAAAAAAAAAATTCACTGACTAGTTAGCTATGTGTTATATTAAAAATAAAAATCCGCTTAAGTACCTAAGCGATTGCTTATTTAAATTTGTTAAAGAAATACAACAAAAACCTTCTGAAATTTTTATTTTAAAAAGTTGGTTCATCTCCCTGATTCAGGTGTTTTCATTTCTGTGCAGCTCTCTCCTAGGATGACTTTTCCATGACTTACTGTAGTATGGAACTTGAAAGTCTTAGCATTCTTCTACCCTTTAGTCAGTAATATCCATGAGTATACTTTAGATCCTGAGAGGGTAGACTTACAAGTGTGTGTTTTTTAGCAAATCATATGCTTTAGAAAGCCAAACTAAGTGTTTATTTCTAGTTCTGTTTTAATATCTTCACATGGTATTAGTTAAAAGAATAGAAGTATATAAGATATATAAGGATGGGCCCAGACCTCAACACTGGCAAAATAACAAGGAAAACAAAAGCAGAAGAGTAGATGATGAAAAATGTCATTGACACCCTACCTTTCTTGTTTGTTTTCTTGAAGTAAACTATTATTAATTCATACTAGTCTTTCTTTGAAGAAATGGTCTATGTATATTCAAAACAGTATGTTTAGGGTTGGAGAGATCATAGAGCCAGTAAGGCACTTGCCATGCATGTAACTGTCCTGAGTTCGATCCCAATACCTCATATAGTTCCCTGAGCATTGCCAGGAGTGATCCCTGAGCACAGAGCCAGGATAAGCCCTGAGCACAGCTGAGTGTGGGCTCACTGTCACCACAAAAAATGTTTTTAAAATAGCCAATATGTATATATACTTCTATTTTTTTATAATTATAGTTTCATAATTTTATATGCCACTTTATTATATTTATTGTGTTCTATTTAAAGAAGGAAGAGTTAGATAATGCAGTCTATTTTACTTTTCTTTTTTCAAAAGGAATCAGCCAGTGATGCTCAGGGCCTGCTCTGGTGACCGTGGGTATCCGAGGGGCCCTGCAATAGCATGGCTGGAATTCAGGGTCTTGCTCATGCTGACTGGTTGCTCTCCCACTTCACCTCTTTCCCAGCCCAATGAAACAGACTTAAATGAAACATGAACCTCGTAATAAAATATCTAATTTTCATTACTATCATGTAACATTTACTTATTTGTAAGTTTTATTTCCTTTGAAAGCTTTGAGTAGAAGTTTAGTTTTCAACATCTAATGCTATTTATGAGAATTTGAGTTAAAAAAAATTTTTTTTTTTTGGTAGAGTGAGCTCCAACTGCAAAAAGAAGTAGAGACAAGACAGCAAATGGAACAAGTATTGGGTGAGCATCGAGAGCTCATTGATGCTCTGACAGCTGAAATTCTTCTTCTCAGAGAAGAAAGTAATGCTACTCAGGTACCTTTTTTCAAAGTATTTGGGGGAAAAGTGTTTGAAATACTCATTTTGTTTCATTTTGGTTTACTTGTGACTATTATTGCCTGTTACCTCCTTACTATCTTCAACAGTAGTTTTATCGAACATTTGTTATATTGGAGAAATTTCTACTTGAACAGAAATTTAAACTACGAGTTGTATGTGATTAAGTCTATTGCCTTTAAGAAATAGTGGGGAAGACAAAATCTACATTTAAATGTTCACTACCATGATTATAGTAGTTTATCCAAAATATAGTGAGTATTATCATTGTATTTACTGTATTCATTTATTGTATTTGCTGTTCTGTCTAACATTCATTGATTCAAAGAAGGCCTTTGATTCTGTTGTGATGGAAGCAGTCATCAGAGCCCTAGCCAATCAGGGCATCCATACTCAATACATCAGGATCCTCCATGAGCTGTATTGCGGATTCACTACCAGGATCTCACCATTCTGCAAGGAAGTGATCATCCATGTCAAGAGGGAATTCGGCAGGGTGATACCATTTCACCGAAACTCTTCAGTCCACCCTCAAGAACGTCATGCGACAACTGGAATGGGAAGGAATGGGAGTGAAGATAGATGGTCAGCAACTACACCAACTCCGCTTTGCTGATGACATCGTTCTAATAACACCAAACATTAGCCAAGTGCTGGCCGACTTCGACCGTGAGTGTGGAAAGGTCACAAATGCTGCTGACTTCGACCGTGAATGTGGAAAGGTCAGACTCCAGCTGAATCTCATGAAGACAGTGTTTATGAGAAACAGTTTCATTCCTGACGTTCCATTCACTCTCAACGGAACAACCATCTCCGAATGCAACAGCTATGTGTACCGAGGTCGAGAAATCAATATCACGAATGACCTGGCACCTGAGTTGCGCAGGAGGAAGAGAGCAGCTTGGAACGCCTTCAAGAGTGTCGAAGAAATAGCTAAGAGGATGAAGAACCTCCGGCTCCAGGCACATCTCTTCGAGACCACTGTTCTTCCTGCATTAACATATGCCTCAGAGACCTGGGCCCTACGAAAACAGGATGAGAACGCTATTCGGGTTTCCCAAAGAGGAATCAAAAGAGCTATGCTTGGAGTATCATGATTCACTCAAATGAGAGAAATAATCCGGAGTTCCGATCTCTGTCGACGGTCAAGAATCAGGGACACTGTCTCGTTTGCCAAGGCGTTGAAAATCAGATGGACACATAATGCGATTTGGAGATGACCGCTGGACTAGAGCCGTTACTGACTGGATTCCATGAGACATCAAAAGACCGCGTGGCTGCCCACTTACAAGATGGTCAAACTTCTTCGTCAAGACCCTGAACAATCGGTTTGAGGCTCTTCTTATTCCTAGAACAAACAGATGCCATTGGGCTACACTAGCACGTGATAGGGACGAATGGAGACATTACTGGTGCCCACTCGAGCAAATCGATGAGTAATGGGAAGTCAAGTGATCGAGTGGTCAAGTGATTATCATTGTTGCTTTTATTTTACTTACTTATTTTGGTTTGGGAGCTGTGCCCAAAGGGGTTCAGGGCTTTGTGCTTCAGGATCACTCCTGGCTCATGGAACCATATTAACCTGGATTAGGCACATGCCAGGCAAACTCCTTACCCATAATACTATTTCTGTCCCCAGTCATAGCTACTTATAATCTCAAAATTGCAAAGGATACACTCCACACTTAAGTTCCTCATATGAGTTACATACGTCAGTTGTAACTATTTATAGAAGTTTCATATCTCTGTTTGTTAATATTTTAAAATTTTCTTTAAGTACCAAGCTACCGAGAGTATTCTGCTCACACGGAAGAGCCTGGCAAGCTATCCGTTGTGTATTCGATATGCCAAAACCAGTAACTACAACTGGTCTCATTCACCTGACCCTGAAGGCTTCACCGACATGGCAGCACTGAGAAGGATGAGAAAGGAGAGGCCTATAAAATCTCAAGGCCGACCTAGGCTGCCACAACGAAGGAAGACAGAAATGGTCGTCTGTACTTTCAATGCACGTACGCTAGCATCAGATACATCCATCGAGGACCTGATGGTACAAGCGCGAATGATCAAGTACGACATCATTGGTCTGACCGAGACAAGAAGGCACGAATCTCACCATGCCGTTTTCGACACTGGAGAAGAATTGTTCCTCGGAACATGCGATAAAAGAGGTGTTGGAGGCGTCGGTGTCCTTGTCAACACAAACTTGGCCAAGAGCATTGATTCATTAGAATGCCTAACAACCCGAATCGGACGTTTACATTTGAATAGATGTGGCTCACTGCCTGCAGTTTCTATCTTCGTTGTCTACGCACCAACATCTCATTATGATGACAGAGAAATCGAGAAGTTCCACATGGAGCTGGAGAAGTTCTATAAAGAAGACCACACCTTCTACAAGATCATTGTGGGTGATTTTAATGCCAAGATAGGACCGAGAAGATCAGCTGAAGAACTTCACATCGGGACCCATGGCCTAGAATGGAACGAACAGGGTGAGAGACTGTCTGAGTTCATCATGCCGACCAAGACCATCCATGGTAACTCACAGTTCCAGAAGGCAGAATCTAAACGATGGACATGGGAGTCTCCCGGTGGATGATTCCACAACGAAATAGACCACATCATATTCAATCGACAGTTTTGCCTGACTGATGTCGCTGTTGTCCCAAAATTTTGAACGGGATCGGACCACCGTCTCCTTCGTGCAAAATTCTACTTCACAGAGCGGGGAGAAAGGGCTGCAAAGTTCAAAGAGAGAACTCCCAGAATGACCACCAACTGGGAACTCTTTGGCACTATTGCGGCAACATGGGAAGATGCCATTGTTGACAACATTGACGAGGAATACGATCGACTGGTTCAGCACCTCCATGAATGTGCGAGGAATGCCAAGAGAGAGATAGCCACAAAAAAACACCTGTCTTCGAAAACTCTTGAGCTAATTCGCCAGCGTGGTTTGGCGCATGCCTCAGGCAACTGCAAGCTAATGTCCGAGCTCGCAAAGCAGTGCAGAGATGCGATCAAGGAAGACCTCAAAGAGAGAAGAGCAGAAGTACTGGTAGATGCGACAGAAGCCGGGAAAAGTATTCGTAATGCCCGCCTGTCCTTCGCCAACTACAAGACCAAGATGACTGCCCTCCGACGTCCTGATGGATCCATCACATCCTGCAGAATGGCAATGGAGAAGATTATCCATGACTTCTACTCAAATCTCTTCGATAGCTATGTCCACTTGCCGACATACCAAATTCCACAGGATGGATATGTCGTTCCCAACGATCTCCCTTCCGAAATCCGACACGCCATTTCGTCGGTAAAGAAACAAACAGCACCCGGCCCAGACAAGGTCAAACCTGAACACCTGAAGAACCTGCCGTCAGTACTCATCAATACACTGGCTCAGCTCTTCACTCGCTACCTTTCTGAATGCAAGGTTCCGTCCCAATGGAAAACCAGCAGGACCGTACTACTGTTCAAGAAGGGAGACATCCATGACATTGGCAACTATCGCCCGATCTGCCTATTGTCTGTCATCTACAAGTTGTTCACTCGAGTCATCCTAAATAGGATTGGCAGAACACTAGATGAAGGACAACCATGCGAGCAAGCCAGGTTCCGCAAAGGATTCAGCACCATCGACCATAAAGGTAAAAGGTAAAGGCCCTCCCGTTAATCGTCGATTTGCTCGAGCAGGCCCAGTAACATCTCCATTGGAGACTTTGTTGTTACTGTGTCTGGCATATCGAATACTCTCGGTAGCTTGCCGGGCTCTCCGAGAGGGGCGGAGGAATCGAACTTGGGTCGGCCATCTTGGCCGCTTGTAAGGTGAACGCCCTACCGCTGTGCTATCTCTCCAACCATCGACCATATCCACACGATAACCAAGCTCATTGAGGTTTCTCGGGAGTTCAAGATGCCGCTCTGTTTAACGTTCATTGATTTAAAGAAGGCCTTTGATTCTGCTGAGATGGAAGCAGTCATTGAAGCCCTAGCCAATCAGGCCATTCAAACCCAATACATTAAGATCCTCCGTGAGCTGTATTGCGGATTCACTACCAGGATCTCACCATTCTACAAAGAAGTGATCGTTGATGTCAAGAGAGGGGTTCGGCAGGGTGATACCATTTTACCGAAACACTTCAGTGCCACCCTCGAGAACATCATGCGATGACTGGAATGGGAAGGAATGGGAGTGAAGATAGATGGTCGGCAACTACACCACCTCCGCTTTGCTGATGACATTGTTTTAATAACACCAAACATCAGCCAAGCGGCACAAATGCTGGCCGACTTTGACCGTGAGTGTGGAAAGGTAGGACTACAGCTGAATCTTACGAAGACAATGTTTATGAGAAACAGCCTCATTCCTGACGCCCCATTCGCTCTCAACAGAACGACCATCTCTGAATGCAACAGCTATGTGTACCTAGATCAAGAAGTCAACATGACAAATGACCTGGCACCCGAGCTGCGCAGGAGGAAGAGAGCGGCTTGGAACGCCTTCAAGAACGTCGAAGAAATAGCTAAGAGGACGAAGAACCTCCGGCTCCGGGCACATCTCTTTGATTCCACTGTTCTTCCTGCATTAACATATGCCTCAGAGAACTGGGCCCTACGCAAACAGGATGAGAACACTATTCAGGTCTTCCAAAGAAGAATAGAAAGAGCTATGCTTGGAATATCAGGTTTCACTCAAATGAGAGAAAGAATCCGGAGTTCCCACATCCTTCGACGATCAAGAATCAAGGATGCTGTCTCATTTGCCAAGGTGTCAAAAATCAGATGGGCTGGTCACGTAATGAGATTTAAAGACGACTGCTGGACTAGAGCTGTTACTGACTGGATTCCATGGTATGTCCAAAGACCTCGTGGCCGCCCTACTACCAGATGGTCAGACTTTTTCATCAAGATCATGAACGATCGGTTTGAGGCTCTTCATGTTCCCAGAGCGAACAGATGCCATTGGGCTACACTAG